GTGAGCAACTGCACTGTGCATCACTTGGTGCATAGAATCTAATTATTTTATTATTAATATTATAATTTATTATTATTACCATTATTATTGTTTTCTGCCTTTTCTGTCCTATTAAACCCTGTTTATCTCAGCCCATGCGTCTGGGGGATTTTTTGATTCCCTCCCCCATCCCACTGAGGGGCAGTGATGGAGCAGCTGCGTGGTGCTTAGTTGCTGGCTGGGGTTAAACCACGACAAAGAGGCCCACATCTCTGTCCTGTCTTTTCTCTAAAGTGATTCTAGTACATATAATGAAGATATTATTAAATTGGCAACGGAACAACCATGTGTGCTTTCAGGATAGATAAATTTGAACTTACCCACAGTTATTTCATTTTCATTCATTATAAAGCAACACCTTGGCAAGGCTAAACCTGAAACTGTAGCTTTAAATGGCCAGTTATCTGGCATCCAGAGGAGGTTATAAAGAAAATAGTTTCTTTGTTCTGCAATGTTTTGACTGTAAATAGAACAAGTCAAGGAGTGTGTTTCAACTCATGGCCTTGTCTATTCCTGTTGGATAGATAGTAAAGCTCCTCAGGGATTTTTTGGCAAAACTCTTAAGCTTAGGAGAGCAACTTACTCCTTTCCCTGTTCCCATTTCCATCATGCTTAGGAGTGCTTCTATTTTATTTTTTGTTTCCTTGTTCTAGAAAGATTGAAACTAACTCTAAAACATGCTGCTGATCTGGGTGCCGTAACTAGAATAGAATAGAAAAAAGAAAATAGTAGACTAGAGAATAGAATAGAATAGTCTAATCTCAGATTTTCATCCAAGTAAAGCAATAACATCCTGAGGAACTGAACAGGAAAACTTCACTGTGGCAAAGGGATGCATCTCCTTGAGAGACAGATTAATAATAATAAGTTTAGATGTAAAAAAGAAAGTTTTATTCTAACATTTATTTTTTTTTTCTTACAGAGCTTCGGCCTGCCAGGTTTGCTTCATTTTGGGGGGCTTTAATTTCTGATAAACCTCAAAGTGAGTTAGGAGAATTCAGCACTTTATAAAATGGTGCCCATAGTTCTCCTCCACCTCCAGTTTTGAGCAGCTGAGTGTGTATTATCCGTGGTTAGCTGGGGAAGCCCAGGCTGCCATCAGTGGCTTTCTGACGTTGGCTTGACACATCCCCCACTGTCCCTGTGCGGTGGGTGAGGTGCCAGGGCAGTGCCACAGCCCCCACCACAGCTCTCATCAGCACTGGGCATGGCTCACTTTGGCTAGCCCAAAACCAGCAGCTTAACTCCTGAGTCTTACTCACGCCCCATTGCCTGCTTCCTCGGGTTAATCCCCGTAGGATTTTTCACCCTCTGAAATCAACAAAAAGATCATCTTCTTCTCCAGTTTCTGAAACCTCGTCATGTTCTCCAGACTTTCCATTTCACGCTGTTTGGGTTTTATGGAGATCTCTTTGCAGAGAGGCAGAGCACCAGCTCTCTGATGCCCTGAGGGAGCTGAGAGGCTGTTGCCATAATGTCTCAAAACTCTGGAGACGTTTTATTTCTACCAGAAGCTCTTTGGAGGATTGTGGATAAGGATATAAATTATCTTAAATGTTTACAGCAGGGATCTTGATCTCTGTTGGATTTTAATACAAAAGCACCTTTTTTTTTTAATCTATTAATTGGCACATCATATTAATACTGATCAAATAATGAATGTCTACAAAACAGATTGTATTTGCTTTATATTTTGGGATGGAGAAGACAATTTTTATTCCACAATTATGGATAATATCCATATGCATAATATTGTGAGTCATCTATTTTTAAGACTATGCCTTTATTTTCAACACATCAGTTGATTATTACAAAGCATTTTCACCAAATATTTTCCAGAAGCACCTCTGTTTTATCTCTTTCTGCCTCCAATACTTTCTGTTCTTCCAAAACACAGTTGTGCATAAGCTCTTTGTAGGAGGTTCTCAAAAGCATGTTTCACCCAGGGTCAGGCCTTCCTTGGGTGGAACTGATGAGGAGATCACCACCAGGTGCCCCCACCTTCCACATTATCATCTTGTCCTGCCCCCAAGTTAATCACATAAGAGCTGGTTCTGCTTGCAGTGGAGTTGGGGGAAGTTTACTGATGTAGCTGATGTGTGGTGCAGTGTTTCCAGGTATAGGAGGAGCTCCCCAACAGTCCACTACAAGTAGAGTTCCCAGTGATGGCAGGACAAGATCAATGACAGAAAGAGGATTATGAGTCTTTCTCCTGGCAATTGCTATATGATTGGAATTGGGTTGCCAGCCTGGTTTACTCCTTCCCCCATGGCCTGGTTTTGGAATCGACTCGCTCCCTTCTTCTCTGCAGTATTTGTCGTGAGTGAAGAGATTGGTCTATTCCTTCCTCTAGTGATGGCCCACCTTCTATCTCTTGCATATGATCTAAGACCAGAAGGAGGAATCTGGCTCATGTGTTAATGACAATATCCTTCCTAATGGGGCAAGTAGTCAGCAGAAGAAAACTCTAAAGCTATGGGTATTTAAAAAACTCTTAAAATTTTAGACTATTTGGACCACAGTTTCCTGAAAGTCTTTGTAATTCTGCATGCCTTGGGCTTTCTGGGTCCATACTGAAGGTGCTGGGATATTAAAAAATTTAGATGTCCTTAAAGGTAGTGTAAACAAGCAAAATGTTAAAGGAGTCTGATACTTTAAGATAAATTTCACTCTTTTCATTGTGAAGGATGCTATAGAATCATCTTGGTTGGATCAGATCATCAAGTCCAGCCATAAACCTAACACTGCCAAGTCCATTACTAAACTATGTCCCTCAGCACCACATCTGCACATCTTTTAAATACTTTCAGAGATGATGATTCAACCAGTTTCCTGGACAGGCTCTTCCAGGGCTTTATAACCCTTTCAGTGAAGAAATCTTTCCTAGTGTTTTATCTAAAACTCCCTGGTCAACTTGAGGCCATTTCCTTTTGGCCTATAACTTGTTACTTGGGAGAAGAGACTGACCCCCATCTCACTCCAACCTCCTTTCAGATAGTTGTAGAGAGTGAGAAGTTCTCCCCTCAGCCTCCTTTTCTTCAGGCTAAACAACCCCAGGTCCCTCAGCCACTCCTCATAAGACCTCTCTTTGCCAGCTTTGTTGCCCTTCTTTGGACACACTCCAGAATCTCAGTGTTTTTCTTGTAGTTAGTGGTCCAAAACTGAACCCAGTATTCAAGGTACAGCCTCACCAGTGCTGAGTCCAGGGGCACAATCACTTCCCTAGTCCTGCTGGCCACACTGTTTCTGACAGAAGCCAGGATGCTGGTGGCCTTCTTGGCCACCTGGGCACACTGCTGGCTCTTGTTCAGCCTGCTGTCAATCAACAACCCAAGGTCCTTTGCCACCAGGCAGCTTTCCAGCTACTCTTCTCTAAGCCTGTATCATTGCAGGGGGTTATTCCAACCCAAGTGGAGGACCTGGCACTTGGCCATGTTAAACCTTATACAGTTGGCATCAGCCCATCCATTCAGCCTGTCCAGATCCCTCTGTAAAGCCTCCCTACCTTCAAGCAGATCAATATACCTGCCTAATTTGGTGTCATCTAAAAACTTACTGAGGGTGCCCTTGATTCCCTCATCCAGATCATTGATAAAGGTATTAAACAGAAATAGCACCAATACTGAGCCCAGGGCAACACCACTTGTGGCTGGCCAACAACTGGATTTTACTTCATTCACCACAACTCTTTGGGCCCAGCCATCCAGCCAATTTGTGCATCAGTGACACAAGTCAACAATTTTCTATCACAGATAACTGACATTCTCTACAGGAAGTAGCAAACCAACTAAGAAGGAATTTTAAATTCTGTTTACAAAGTTGCAAGAAGTCTACAAAAATACAGAAAACAGACACTGGTAGTGTAATGTAACTACTAACACAAATATGTCTGACTGCAGCACTATTTTACACCATACATATCCTCAAAGCAATGGTCACTCAGTAATCTGACAGTGTAGTTTGCTCCCATTTTTTGTATTTCCCAGCCTTCTTTGTCTTTGCATTTCCCATGTACCCACTCTTCTTCCTCAGAATAATGCTACAGCACTATCACAGATAAGGATACCAGCAGTTGCTCTCTCAAAAGAAGAAAGTGAATTTTCTTTCTGGTAGGGTGTTTTGCTATTTAATCTTCTTATACTGCAGAAATACTGTTCCTATTGTCAGATAGATTGAATGGCTTTTGTAATTATCAAGATAGCTTTAGATGCTGCCTCACATAAATGTACTAACAGAGACAGTTATAATTTAACCCTCTTAATGTTGTCTTTCAATACAGCTTCTCTGTAGTGATTAACCATAATAGGATTTTTAATTGGTCAATGTTCTCTTAAAATGTCAGCTTTTCAAAGTCATGATGTGCTATATACTTCTGGCATCTATTGGTTAAGAGAATTAAATTTAGCTCCCACTTACCAGTGCAGAGATTTGAAACAATGCTGGAAATAGCTGACTGCTTTACCTTAAGTTTTTATTCTATGATAAAACTTCTTTTCTCTATCCAGATGATGGTTAAAACTGAATTTAAAGATTATGTTCATGAAGTTCTGCACATCTCTTGGAATACGTCTCTCTTCAATGATAAAAATAACTGCAGATTTTTTGGAATTCCAGAGTTTAAGTACTAGAGTTGACATTATCTACTGCAACATGTGCACTTTTTACAATGGTTAGAAAAAAATTCTGCAGTACTCATTTTTATTTCCTTCCATTCTGCTTCAATCTCCCTGCAGGATGTGTGACACGGGAGAAGGGCTGTTCACCTTTCAGACACGAGAAGGAGAAATGATATATCAGAAAGTCCATTCTGCAACACTGGCAATAGCAGAGCAACATGAAAGACTAATGATGGAGATGGAGCAGAAGGCAAGGGTAAGGTCCTTTCATCAAAACCTTTACACTTAGAAAAGCTGGTAATGAAAAAAAGAAGTATGGAGTCCAGTCTGTAGATCCAACTGTAACGATGGTACTGGACGTGTGGCTAAGACAAAAGAGACTTCTGGATTTATGTGTTTCCATGATGAAGAGATTTTCAGCATGTGCTATACAATGATCTATTGTCGGTGTCTTTTTGGAATGGTGGATACCATTACACATGAGAGCCACAGTTACCTTCTGGAAGATTGTGCCTCTGTTACTTAAAGATTAAGCCTTTAGCTGAGGAGATCTGTGAGTTGACTACTGATGAATGGGTGTTAATTGCTTCTCGTGGTCTTACGGGTGGAAAAACCCTCCTAGGTGAGAGAAAGCGTGTTCTGTTTTTCTTAATCCCTGGAATTACTTTCTCTACAGTATAGTGAGTAACAATGCAATGTGTGTTCAGAAAGAGGTATTTTTTGATTTTAAGATCAGAATTTCCAGTTTGCACAAGTTGTCTTTAAGTGACTACTGGAAAGTGTGAAGTTTTTTTTTAAGATAGAAAGAAAAAGTGTTCCCTGTGTGCTTAGGAGTAGAGATGGTTTTAAATGATCATGCTGGCAAGCTAACTTTCAACTATGGTGTGAAGCTACCTTTGTATCCACTGGAGAGGAAGTATATGGGGAGGCCAGGGAACCTGGTGTGTGTGTTTTTCTTCTCAAATGACTACAATTGTCCATGTATCTTTCTCCCTAGAAAGAGATTTGAGGGTAATTGCACCATTTTCTGTGACTCTTTCTTCCTTCCCTTGCCCACCGTGTACACGGCCAGAGTCATGCAAACATGACTTACATGATTCTCTCCCCCAACGTTCCATCACTATCAAAATATCTTGCTCACACCCCTGAGAGAAAGGCTCTGGTAAAGGTCAACTTAAGACCCCAATGTTCAATTCCTTCTCCTAAGTCTATCTTCCTCTATTTATTTAAAAAGAAACTTGAAAAAAGATTTAGATTTCCATGTCAAAAGTCTGCTATGTTGAACGTTTCCCTCAGACTCTGCATGTCTCTAAGTAAGATCTGAGACAGGGAGCCATAAAAACTGACTTTTTTGGTGATTTATGAAGAAAGGTGGATGAGTTTTTCAATAAAATTAGACAAAGTAGGAGCATTTGCACAAGAGCTGAGATGCACAAATTTTGGACAGAAAAAGCAGGAAGAGGAGAGTTCATGATCAACATTGAAATAAGGTTAAGGGTACAGGAAAATTGCTGGAAAATACAGGACAAGATGATAGAGTATAAATGGAAGAGCACTTGAAGTAGCAGAAGTGCTGGCAAAAAAAATCCACAACTTAATTCTGCTGGGCAGAAAGTAATTGAGTAATAATCTAAAACCAGGAAAAAGCATCATTATAAACATGTTTGCTTTTAAAGTGTCTACACTGCTAAGAGAAATTAGAGCATTTTCATGTGACTGTAATAAGTGGTTAGGCCAAGATCATATGAGACTTTCCTTCCATGGAACCACCACTTTCAGGTCTTTGACCTACCAATTAGCAGCTTTGCTGCTTAGCAAAGCCATTTCCGTTCTGCCATCAGATGACTTCCTTGAAACCTCATTTATGAAGCCTGTGGCCAGATGGTAGCTAATATCAAACTCTGAGAACAGGCTGAGCAGTAGAAATGACTCATGAGCCACACAGAGTCTCATGTATTTGGCTCCTGAATGAGGCTGCACTGTGATCTGCAGAGGCACATCAGTAGAGGCCTGGCTGTAGGATTGAGTAGAAGCTGTAGGCTGTGTGAAAAAGGCTGAAAAATCTGTTGATTTTATATTCCAAGTAATAAGATAATGTTGGTTTGATTCTGGAAGCTTGGCTGGTCTTGACTGATGGGTTGCAGGGCATTTAAGGGGTCATCTGTTTCATATGGAGCATTTGAGTTGTATTCATATTGGAAACAAAATCTGAAGATATTAAATAGGCTAATCATAGAATCATAGAATGGTTTGAGTTGGAAGGAACTTTAAAGATCATCTAGATCCAACGCTCTGCCATGGGCTGGGACACCTCCCACTAGACCAGCTTGCCCCAATCCCCATCCAACCTGGTCTTGAACACCTCCAGTGATGGAGCAGCCGTAGCTTCCCTATGCAACGTGTTCTGATGTCTCACCACCTTCACAGTGAAGAACTTCTTCCTTACATCTAACCTAAATGTGTCCTCTTCCAGTTTGAAGCCATTACCCCTCATCCTATCACTACAAGCCTTTGTAAAAAGTCTCTCCTCAGCTTTCTTGTAGGCCTCCTTCAGATACAGAAGGCTGCAATAAGGTCTCCCTGGAGCCTTCTCCATGACGAACAATAGCAACTCTCAGCCTGTCCTTGTAGGAGAGGTGTTCCAGCCCTCTGGTCACCTTTGTCTCTCTCTTCTAAACCAGCTCCAACAGGTCCATGTCCTTCTTGTGTTGGGAGCTCCAGAGATGGACACAGTGGTCCTGATGGGGTCTCACGAGTGTGGAGTAGAGGAGGAGAGTCACCTCCCTCCACCTGCTGGCCGCGCTGCTTTTGATGCAGCTGAGGATACAGTTGGCTTTTCTGGCTGCATTTGCATGTTGTTGGCTCATGTTGAGCTTTTCGTCAACCAGCACCCCCAAGTCTTTCTCCTCAGGACTGCTCTCAATCCATTCTCCACCCAGCCTGTATTTGTGCTTGGCATTGCCCAGACCCAGTTCAGGACCTTTCACTTGGCCTTGTTGAACTTCATGAAGTTGGCATGGGCCCACCTCTCAAGCCTGTCAAGGTCCCCCTGGATTGCTTCCCTTCCCTCCAGCATGTCTGCCACGCAACTTGGGGTAATTCATAAACATGCTGAGGGTGCACTTGATCCCACTGTCCATGTCACCGACAAAAATGTTAAGCAGCACTGGTTCCAGTACCAATCCCTGAGAAATACCACTTGTCACTGGTCTCCACTTGGACATCGAGCCACTAACCACAACTTTTTGAGCGCAGCCATCCAGCCAGTTCCTTATCCACTGAGTGGTCCATCCATTTTCCCAATTTAGAGACCAGGAAGTTGTGTAGAACAGCATCAGACACTTTGCACAAGTCCAGCTAGATGATGTCGTTTGTTCTTCCCTTATCCACCAATACTGTAACTCCATTTTAGAAGGCCACCAAATTCATCAGACACAATTTGCCCTTGGTGAAGCCATGTTGCTTGACACCAATCGCCTCATCATTTTCCATGTGCCTTAGCAGAGCCCTCAGAAGGATCTTCAGGAAAATGGGGATCGTGTTTTCCCTTTTCCAGTCACTGGGGACTTCACCAGACTGCCATGACTTTTCTACTACGATGGGAAGTGGCTTAGTAGCATCATCTGCCATTTCCCTCAGGACCCACAGATGGATCATTGGGTCCCATGGACGTGTACACCTAGAGGATCTTTAGATGATCTCAGACTTGATCTTCCAGTCCCTGCCTTTGCCTTCTGCAGCTTGGGCAGTGTGGCTGGAGACCTTGCCAGTGAAGACTGAGGCAAAGAAGTCATTGAGTACCTCAGCCTTCTCCATATCCCTTGTGACCAGGTCTCCCATTTCCTTCCAGAGAGGGCCCACATCTTCCCTAGCCTTCCTTCTATCACTGGCATACCTCTTTACCTTTCTGTTCCTGGCTGGATTCAATTCAATCCAGGCTTTAGCTTTCCTAACCTGATCCCTGGCTGCTTGTACAACTTATTTATTTATATTCCTCCCAGGCTACTTGTCCTTGCTTCCACTCTCTGTACACTCTCTTTTCACATTCAAGTGTGTCCAGGAGCAAGAAGTTCATCCTTGCAGTTCTGGCATTCTTGCCTGCCTTCCTCTTTTTTGGGACACATTGCTCCTGGGCTTGGAAGTGGTGGTCCTTAAATATTGACCAGCTTTCTTGGGCCCCTCTATCCTCCAGGACTTTATCTTATGGTACTCTACCAAGCAGATCCCTGAAGATGTCAAAGTCTACTCTCCTGATATCCGGGGTAGTGAGCTTGCTCTGCACCCTCCTTGTTGCCCTAAGGGTCTTGAATTCCACCATTTCCTGGTCACTGCAGCCAAGGCTACCATTGAGCTTCACATTAGCCACTAGCCCCTCTTTGTTGGTGAGAACAAGGTCCAGCATAGCACCTTTTCTCACTAGTTCCTCTAACACTTGGAGAAGGAAAATGTCATCAATGCATTCCAGGAACCTCCTGGTTTGCTGGTAGCCTGCTGTGCTCTGTGTTCAACAGGTACCAGGATGGTTGAAATCCTCCATGGGGACCAGAGCTTGTGAACATGGAGTTGTTCCTATCTGCTTAGTCTTCCTGGTCAGGTGGCCTGGAGCAGACTCCCACTGTGATATCCACTTCCCCTGCCTTCCCTTTAACCCTGATCCGTAAGCTCTTGGTCATGTCCTCATCCATCCCCAGGCCAAGCTCCATGGACTCCAGCTGATCATCAACTGAGTAGATGATATTTTCCTTTTGTCAAGTATAATTGCTTCTCTGATATCCAAATTAAACAGTTTCACCAAATGCCTGTGTATATTTTTCCCATAAGATCGCAAATAGAAATACAAGCAAGAGCATATTTTTAAATTGGGGATCAAGAAGCCATAAATATCCCAAAGCTTGACATTTGAACCTTTGTATCTATAGCTCTATACCTGGGGGGTTTTGCTCTTCCATGACCCTTTCTGTAATAAACAGCTCATGCTTCATAGTATTAAATCATCTTTTCTTTGTAAAGGTGAAAAATGAAATCATTCTTTTAAAGTAAAGGAAGCTTAACAGTGTATCCATTATTATACAGATGAGAAAAAGGCAAGAAGTGTAATGGTAACTCCATCTTTGCTTCTTCCTTCCCATCATTAGAAGTTATGTTAGTAAAGACTCTTGAATATTTTTGTATTCTGTCCTACATGTTAACCTGTTTTAATTAATACACTGAAGTTTCATTTAATCTTTCCAGATTATAGTAAATTGTAATCCAATA